TATGAGAGCAGTGTAGAGCAGCTTGGAAAATCCATCTTAATTTTCTTTTCTATTGTATGTTCCCCTAAAGAAGCACCGCTTGGAAAAATTGCCCTGTCACCTGGATGGCAGGTTTGTTTTAAACATGGGAGGGTTTTTTTTTTTTTTTAATTTTACCTACACTTCCTTCTCTTCCCTTAGCAACAAACCATTTAGATCCAGTAATACAGGAAACAGAACCCGTGTCCAGTAAATGGCTAATTCTCTGGGAACCGGAGAGCATACCTGACAGTGAATAAATGGTACCCGGTGTGGCGACGGCCTCTGAGTTTCTACCCCTCTGGAACATATCTTCACTGCAAATGAATCTGTTTCAATGCTGCTAGGTCCGCAGTGCAGTGGGTTCTGCTCTAGCTTGTCTGAATCCCGTGGCACTTCTATGCTGGGTGTAAAGATGAGTTGGCTAAGCAGAGAAGCCAAGTTTTACAACAGGAGCAGATTTTAAACTGCTTACCTTGACTGTCACTCCCCATTGCTGGGTGGGGAGGGAGAGGGAGGGAGGAAGAGAGAGAGAGAACATGGAATGAGAAGGGAAGCAGGAGAGACCCTCCCCACTGGACCCAAACAAACTCAGAGTTTTGGCTCCAAGGCCTATGGCCAAATAAAGTTTAAAGGGAGAGGTTATGGTCCTAGAAGAGGGTGGTTCACCAGAGAGCCTAGCACCCCTGGGAAATGTAGGCGGGGGTGGGGGTGGGGGGATATGGATAAAGCAAATGGCTACAGATGTCTACAGTCCTGTCGCTCTTTCAGCTTCACAGAAAGTCCAGCTCTCCTATGCTAAGAGCTCAGGAAACAGGTGAGGATCATTCTCCCTCTCTTGCCCTCACTCTCTTTGTAAATGTTCTCTAGAGCCTAAACTGTAGCATCTAGAATGATAGGAGCCATAGTCCTGAATCCACCACTGAATGGGAGCTGGGCCCAGCAGTCCATAAGTCTAATCCCAGAGGGGGTGGGGGCGGGGAGGATAACAGACACACTAAATAGGTTCTCAATGAACTCTCTCTCTCTTCCCTCCCTCTCTCTCCTCTCCTCTCTCTCTCTTTCTCTCTCTCCTCTTCTCTCTCTCTCTCTCCTAGGCCTATGTTTTGTGAGATAGTATTTCTCTGTCTACCTTTGGCTGTCCTGGACCTCACTAGGTAGACCAGGCTGACACAGAGACATGCCTGCCTCTGCCCTGCCTCTCTGAGTGGCGGGATCGCACCACTGCCCCGCTGCAGCAAGTCTCTCAAATGCTTAAGTTCCAGGATACACTGTTTCCTCCCCCTTTTGATTTTGGGTATTACTTTCTCTCTCCTTACAAACCAAACCAAACCAAAACCCCGAGTAGGTAGTGTTTGAAAGAACTTTAAAAGTGAGCTGGAGAGGGAGTCCCCACGTGAAGATAGGAGTCACTTTACATATTATGAGTAAGCCCACCTGAAGTTATCTCCCTACAATAAGGAGCGCCTAGCATGCTCTCTAACCGACTTTCTATGGGTCTAAAGCAAGAATTTGCCAGCCCTTTTTCTTGCCTGAGTTTTGTGTTAGCACCCAGCCCTGTCCTCAATCTTAAATCTCGAGTATTGGATTTGCACCCAGCTCTTTCCTCAATCTTAAATCCTCATAAACCACACTGTCAAATTATAAAGGGGACCTGCCCTGACCTTGGCTATTCCTGGTATTGCAAAATAATCTTTGCCTGTGTAACTTCTCTGGAAAAAAGGGGGATGGGCTGGTTGCACGTTGTACAGACAGTAATCACAAATGAACAGAAGCCCCAGGGCACGGCCGTTTGTTCTAAAGTTTTCAGCCACTTTTAAGGACGCCTGTGTGTGTGAACTAAGTGCAAGCCATTTGATTTAATCGAGCCCTTTTCTTTTTTTCCTGGTGGTTACAAGGTCCCTCAGGAGTCCACGCCTCTGCCCCTAGGGGCCTCCCAGCCCAGGCGCAACAGTTCAGGCGGACTAGTTCATTTCACCACAGCCCGGGGCCGCTCGGAAAGCAAAGATTAAAGGCGAAAGTCGCAGCTGTGTATTTATATTTTCATTGCTAGAAGGGAATTGATTTCCGCGCATTTATTTTGGAAGTTGTAATACAGAAGAGCGGATTTGCGTCATCACAGCAACTTGCCGGTGGAGATAAAGTTGCACAAATATTGAAAGGGGAAGTGCTAGGAGTCGTTATAGAGTTTTTCTCCGGAAGAAATAAGGATTTCTGCAGTATCCTAAAATACTAGGACCGCTTCTATTTTGAGACCAATCTCGCAGGCATATCCGCTCATTTAGTCCAAGTTTGAGCCCATCAAAAAAACAGGAGATGACCTGAACTCTGGCGAGCCCTGGGCTTCCTGCTGCTTTCTTGGTTCTGAAGAGTAGGGGCTAAGAAGGAGGGCCGTGCAGGCGACTGGCCTGCGGGGGCGAGGCTTGGGCCTAGGGCAACAAAAAAAAAAAAAAAAAAAAAAAAAAAAAA